AGGTCAAAGAAGCTAGAAGTTAGGGGGAGCAAACATCCTCTACCCACAGAGCAAATCATCTCAAAATGGTTTGCTGATGAGAAGTCCCAAGAGTACTATTTTGAATGGTCAGGATCAAATGTTGTCACATATATGTTTGAGGTTTAAAACAGAAGGACTAAAGCTGCAAGAACCATTAAATGATCTTCCAAAGGCAGTTCGTTCAAGCATAGCACACCATCTGTTTTTTCCTGTCGTGCAAAAGGTCTACCTCTTGCAAGGAGTCTCTCTTGATTTCCTTTTCCAGATGGTAATACTAATACCCCATATGCCTTCTTTGTTTTTATTATCGTAACACTTTTTGTCTTTATTTTCATCGATTTTCCCTTTTGTTTTCTTCTTCTTTGGTTAAGCTAAGAGTGAGAAGAAAAAGATCTAATGTCAAAACATGTCAATATCTGACCCAGGTAACTCTGTAATAATAGGTTTCAGTTATGGTAGCCGAGTATTTCCCACCCAAGGAAGATGTGATACTGCAGAATGAGTCTTCAACAGAACTTTATGTGTGGTTTCAGGGGCAGTGGTGAGTTAGCTAACCCATGATAACACTTTTTGTCTTTATTTTCATCCATTTTCCCTTTTGTTTTCTTCTTCTTTGGTTAAGCTAAGAGTGAGAAGAAAAAGATCTAATGTCAAAACATGTCAATATCTGACCCAGGTAACTCTGTAATAATAGGTTTCAGTTATGGTAGCCGAGTATTTCCCACCCAAGGAAGATGTGATACTGCAGAATGAGTCTTCAACAGAACTTTATGTGTGGTTTCAGGGGCAGTGGTGAGTTAGCTAACCCATGAACGATCTAGTAACCCATAAATAAATCTAGAAGAATGTATGCTGACAAAAAACAACCCTTTTCAAATAATTTCTTGTTGCAGAATCTGGTTCGCTGCATTGATGGGCATGATCATGTAAAAATATTCACCCATGACATTGTATTTATCTTCAGATTACACGGGGAAATAACTGAATGTAACTTTCTATCTCCACATTAACAATTCAGGTTCAGGGGAAGGCCGTTGCAGTAGATGCATATGGAGAGATTGGAGTTTTATATCAAATACCACAGCATTTCACAGTTCGGACCACAGAACTTTCTCAGATTTTAAGACTCAACAAAACATCCTTGATGAATGTTTTACAAGCAAATCCAGGAGACGCTCAAATTATAATGGATAACCTTTAAATGGTAAATAGGATATTGAAGGCCTCTAAACATAACATGGGGAATGTATAAATTTAATTTATCCTATATTCCCCCTCAACAATTATAAGTTCCTAAATTATCTTGTATTGACAGAGATTAAAGGGGCGTGATGATTTTGGCTTTGAATATCCAAGTACAGATTCTGGATTGGTTCCACGTGAACTGCTTCAAGGAGGTAGCACGAGAGGAAGCTCTTGTCACGAGTGTACAAATAATTCACATGAGCATTCATTAATGCATGAAGAGAGCACAAAGATATTAGAAACTCGGAGACCAGTTTGCGTAAGGTGACTAATGATGATCACTTAGTCACTAAACATAACTTGATCCCTAAGCATGATAGAATAGATCCTCGTTCGGCTGCACACAAAGGGAATCTAGACATTGTTGAAATTCTGCTTGAAAGAGACGCAAATCCTGATCCAAATTCCAAAGGGTGGACGCAAAGAGCTCCAATAAAACAGCCTAAAAACGAGCATTTGTGACCAAAAAATGAGTTGTGAAAACAAGAGTTAGATGAATTTAGAATAGAGATTGCGAACCCAGAAATCCTTGACCTCGACAAGATTGGCCCAACCAGAAACAGAAGACTAGATGGTACTAGGTCTATTAAGTTCCCATCGGAGAAAATGAACACAAACACCAAGTCAAGAATTTGTAACTCTCCAAGAGATAGATAATCGGCAAGGCACCCCAAGAAGATAGTAACAGTCCACTTGCTACATGGATGCAAGAGTACCACACGAGGACACCATGGAAAATTAATAATTCTGCCTGATACAGTAGAAGAGCTGCTCAAAATTTCTGGTAATCTTTGAACATTAAACAGGGCAATAGTAGTTTCACACACACTAAAGATAAACTTTTCTGTTACTTGATTCTTTATATTTTTTCTGGGGAAAGGGGAGGGTGAAGGGATTCTGCAAAACACAGATGCAGTATTCTGAACACAACAGAGTATAACTTTTTACTGCTTTCACTTTCTTCTAACTATAAACTTGCAAAATTGCAGCTGAAAAATTTGGCGGCTTCGACCTCACAAAAGTAATTAACACACAGAATGCAGAGATAGATGACATAAATATCATCCGAGATGGAGATCGTCTCTTTCTTCTGTGCAGCGATAATGAAATTGAGTTCATGATGTAACGAAAGATAGATAGCATCCTTAGGAACTTGATGATAACCATGTAATCAAATCATCAAAATGCTAAGCGTCCAGAAAGATATTGGAAAATTATACGATTCAATTACAAAAGCTGCTCTTTGTTCATGACTTGAAACAAAATTTTACAATCTTATATCAATTGAAAATGAGTCATAATCAATTGACGATCTCTGAAATGTGTTAGCTGGTGTATTGCATGATTTAAACAGTATTTCACAGTTTTTATTATGACTGAGAATCCAGCTAATCAATTCCTTTTCAACCAGAAGTGCTCTTGGTCAGTGTAAAAGATGCTAGAGTGACTTCAAAGAAGCATCTCACTTTGTGAGACCACGTTCTGTATTTCTAATAACTGTCTGTTGAATGCCTTTGATGAATAAAACTCATTTCTTTAAATTAATTGGTATAGGGTGTGCTTCTGTGTTGAAAACAAATTTATCCCGATGAATAAGAGAGCTGTCTGCAAAAAGCAAGTACAAATACTTGAGAGTTTCTCTTAGAAAGAAAGTCTCCATTTTGTCTCTTCTGTAAGGAGGAACACTAGTTACGTCGTCCAGAGAACAATATCCTCCGGTATCAACTTTTGTGTGCTTTTCAAAAGCTTCAAAGATTTGCCAACCCCATTCATGATATCCGTGATATTCATCTGATTATTTAATAAAAAAAGGAAAAGAGAAATTAAGCTTGTTTTCAGTGTTTCTTACATTTGCCCAGAAGAAATAGAAGTATATACTTAAACTAATCTTATACACAAGAAATAGAAGTATTATTTGTTAATGATAAATAATATCTCTCAATTCTTATTCATGCATGAAGGAAACCTTGATGATTGATGAACAAGTTGAGGGAAGAACGTTTTGAAGGTAAGATGTTTATCATTCAGTGTACCAGTCTTCAAGTAGCTTCCATTTAGATCCATTCCAACTGTGGTAGAAGCCTTCCTTTCTGACAGACCAATGAACGGTGTGATGGTCTTTGTCCCTCTTGGCATGGTATGCGTCCCAAGTGGTGAACCAGGGCCACCACGTAGCAGTGCATCCCAAATCTCGATCCACTGTGAGAGTAAGGTTGTGGCCATGGCCTGGTTCGAGATGAAAGGATGAACCTTCATCGCAACTAAGCACCAATTGCACCTGGGTTTTGTTGGGCTTGGGCAGGTCGTTTCGTATGTCAACAACAGTGTGTGGTCTGTGAGGCACAGCAAGTGTTGATGTGCTAAGACAGAAGAACGCGAGGAAGAGTAGAAAGACGGTGAAGAAGGGGTAACGAAAAGCCATTGTTTTGTGTTAATAGTGTGGGAGACGCAAGGGGCTACATTGGTTGAAATATATGTATTTAGTTGGGGTCTACAGTTCACGTATATCCCGGTGGGTGTACCTTTGCCAACACATCAAGAAAAGGAAAATGCTAACCCTTCCATCATGAATCACGATTCCTCTTTTGAGGAAAAACATTATTATATAAGCAAGACAAGAGTAGCTATCAAATTCAATATTTTAAAAAAGTGTAATGGATATATATTTGAAAATTTCTACTTTACCCATATGTATTTAAAAGGCTTCGGTAGAGTCAGCAACTGAATGTCATGTCATCAAATTTGAGAAACCTCTTATTTTTGAGAAAGGTTTTCACCAAATTACTAACTTGATTTTCAAATTCAAGTTTTGAATTTATAGTCCAATAATGATCCTGATGCACTATAGCAACCTAGAAAAAAGAAGAGAAGAAGAAAGCTTCAAGTTAGGACTCTTCTCTCTAGAATTTTCTCTTTCTAATAATCTAAAGAATATGAACTTGTGAATATTAGTCTTAAATAGAAACTTTATATACCTTCCTCTCTTAGAATCAACTAGACTTTTAGTTAGAGATCCCCAAGACTAGTTAGACTCTTGAGAGTTCTTCAACTCTTATGGTGTGTTTGGATAAAGTATTTTAATGAGGTAATTCATTTTTTTAAAGAAATTAAAATACTTTACTCTAATTTATGTTGTTTGGATAAGTTATTTTAAAAAGAATTTTAAATCTCTCATTTTATGAAACATTTCAATTAACTAAAATTAATAGAATTTGAAATTCCACCAAAAAGAGAAGAATTTGAAATTCCTTGTCTCAGTCACGCAAGCGTCTCTCACGTTCGCGGATGGGTCTCTCACGTTCGGGGTTGGCTCTCTCACTCTCACACTTGCGATTTGGCTTTTCGCTCTCACACTCGTGATCATCTCTAGCGGTTCTTTCTCTTTTCCGATTCACGTTCTCTTGCTCGCTCGATTTCTCCATTTCTGATCTTGATCTCGATTTCTTGCTCGCTCGTACTCGTCATTCTTTTGCGATTTTCGTTCTCCCGCATGCTCATAATCTAGATTTTCCTCTTGCTCATGATTGTTTAACTTACAATCCTTGATTTCTCCATTTGCTCAGGTTAGTTTTTCTTCTCTTTCAATTTTAGGGTTATATTTTAGTTCTTATTGAATTTGTATTAATCTAGGGTTTTATTTGCAGTTCCATGTTTGATTTCAGTAAATTCATACATTGATTCATTTGTCACCAATTAATATTTCTCTGTTTTGTTATGATATTTGTCTGCAAATGTCACTGCAGTATCAAAGCAAGCAGGTTGAGGAGGTTACCAGTAGAACTTCCATTAATTGTTCCTTCAGTCTCTCTAGAGGTACAATGCAAAACTTGGTTTGTTATGTGTTTTTCCAGTAGTTTTATCCTGATAGAAAATATGCATGACATAAACATAAAATAAAAAAAAAAGATTCACTATGGTAAAATATACGCATATTATCACCAAGAAGATATTTGGTTTGGGTAATGTGTGTTAACCTTTCTTGAAGAAATTTACTTTGTGGCTCAGTATCTGACTTTCTGAAAATGTTCTTATGTCCTGAAAAAGTATTGATTTCATTCCCCTCCAATTCCAAGTCCTGATAATAATTTTTTGTAAGTTATAAGTACACTGAGATGAAAGTATCACTTCTAAACTAGTTTCTACTGATTATTTTTAGTTGTGAAAAGGGGATGGATTACTGGGAACAAAGTATATTATACAATAAATTATATACGACCTTGACACCTTCTAGCTTTGATGGACATATTGCTTGCTCATTAGCTAGGCCAGCTGAGTTTGTTAGTGATATTTCCAGCATATTATCTGACTGTTTAGAAAGTTGATCTGAGCAAGACATGACATTCTGAGAAATTGAAGCGCTTGAGGATTTTACATCAGGAAAGTTATCAAAATTTAAGGATTCAACAAAACATAAATTTAAACTTGGTGGACCAAACTCCGCAGTGGTGGTGGTATCATTCAAAAATGTCCAACCACTCCAGTCAAGGGGTGAAACATCATCCTGCATTGACAAGAAGAAATTACAGAATTTAAATCCCAAACAAGAAAATTCATTTAAATCTTATAATTTTTTTAATAAAAGAAGAAATTTTGTAATGAAGAGAAGAAACTATAAAAACAAAGAAAAAACTAATAGAACAGAACTTCCTATCACTCAACATACTTGCGAGTGAAACCCCATCAAAAGGGTCACATGTTGTTTTAGGCCAAACACCTAATCTTTTTCACAATTCACAAATCCAAGCTAACCTTTGTTCACATTAGAGGTAGCAACATCAAATCATACCTGAACATTTTCAAATACATGAATAGAATCACATGTAACTCCTCTCCCTTCCCTCTTAGTAGGGATCAAACCACATTCCTCCTCCTGATTTTTCTTCTCTACCTTCCACAATGAAAAAAACGGATGTATTTTCAGTCCTGCATACACCCTAGAATCTTCCTGATACAAAAAATACATAAAAAGAATCACATTACAATCATGCAGCAAGTAAAGGACACATTAGAAAACTTACATGAAATATAAACACAACACACAGATAAGTTATCTACGATTGTCCTTGTCCTGATCCACTTTTGTCCATATTTAGAAACACAATAAGCATCTGTGGTTCCTCTACCATCTCTTGTTTTCATTGGCATTAGCCCTTGTGCGCTTATTATCCCAACTTCCAGAACAACTACAATAGATACACGCATTTCATCATTGTAATACTTAACAGAACAACTGGATATTACAATCCACTTAGTAATAAGAGTTACGCTGTACAGGGTCTCAACTCTCAAGAATAATAATGGGTGGACTTTGTAACTGGATAGTTTTTCTATTCAACGGAATTTTTTTATTTAAGAATGACTTTAAACAAACATACCGGGACTCGTTGAGTACTTATATATTTATATGTGCACTTTGTTTATTTGTAAAATCAATGAAAAATATTATTTAAAAATTTGGTTGCACATAAATAATTAGGAGCAAGTATCTTTTAATATCCCTGACAGCTTAAAGTGGTCAACTAGCGTATTAATTTGTTTTCAGTTAATATGATATCATTTATTAATTACCTATCATTGCTAATATTTGTATATTGAACTATTATGAATTTATATGTAATTTGATTGGTTTTGCAAGTTAACTTTCTAATTTTTTCATGTACTTTGTATGTTTCAGGTTTGGAGCTTTTATGTATTCCATGAATACTTAGATGTTACAGGTCAGTTGCTTTATAAATTTTATAATTAGCTTGCATAATTGTTGTTCATGGATAATATATAATTTGATTATATATGCTAAAAATGATCCATATATATATGAAAAGATTTTGTTGTTTTATACTTCTTGCAATGAGAGTTATTCTAGTATATGTTATATCTTTCGATTCTTACTCTCTTAACTATATTATTTGTTTAATTTTTTTTGGTTATCCTTTGTCCCTAGAAGCTGTCTCAATCTGGTTACAAAGACAAAATGATTTTGAATATTTGAAGAATGAAGATGAACATTTAGTCCTGTTTTTCTTGGATTTTACCTTCCTTTTTCCCTCTCTTCATCTTGGTTGTTTTGAAGTTGTGATCTTGATATAGCATGGTAACAAGATTGTATCTTGGTTTTTTTTGTAGGCTTTGCTTCTATGAGGAGTTGAAAATCTTTGGTCATGAAGTTGTAACCTTGATATCTTTAACAAACTATCTTTTATTTTTGTTTTTTTTAATATGAATATAAAGTACATTTGGAATTTCATTACTGTTTAGTTTAAATTCGTATGGGATATTGTGGTTTTGAACCACCTATACTCAAAGTTTAAGATTCTTATTATTTTTTTCTTAGTTCAAAATGGAATCATTTCATATCAAGAATTAACGTGCATTAATTGTTTTACGGATGTTAATGGTATTTTGAAGCTTTTAAATATATTGTGAATTTAAATTTTTTTTAAAATTATAAAGAAAAAATTGATCAAATATAACGTCTAGTACTATTTTTGAATTAATTAAAATTTTCTAATATTAAAATTTTCAATTATTAAATATATTTTAATAAAATTTATTATTAAAACTTTAATTTTTTAATAAATATTTAAAAATGAAATTTTGCTAAGTAGAAATTGAAATACTCTATCCAAACAAGAGAATTGAAATACAAGATATTGAAAAA